TTCAAGTAAGCACAGTGACCTAATTCAACATTTTGTCGTCCTTGAAGCATGATTGCCTTCACACCGTTTTCTGACTGTACATTATGAGCTCATGAGAGTTTTAATTAAACATCAGAAATATAGAAGTCCGAGGGAACAACTGCGACCGTTAAACATGCGACTTATTCCATAAATTCTGATAACTAAATTCCGACGTTCGACAGCAAGAGAAAATCCGGTTTTTAGAGGAACTGAGCGACTGAGACCAGCTCCTTAATGGGATCCAGATTACCTCGGTCATTTGTTAATTCTTCATTGAAGTGATTCTAACATAAAAACAAGCACTTTGACATCCACCTTCATAAACTACCGAATGGCTCAGCAGATGGACTGCAAGAATCCGAGGCCATGCAGTCACTCATAATTTGTAATCTTAATAAAAGGTCTAAAAGTTTCGATAAGCTCGGTTTAAGTTATCGCTCCTGTTAGCCGACGTTTAATTAACTAGACCATAATTATTGCAGAAAAACAAGCACCAAATCAAATTGAACGACATGATTAGCTGTAACGCGGGTCAGAAGCGCCTCGAGTACACACGAGATAATTTCTGATGACGAAGTCTTTTTCAAAATGTTTTGTTGCCTTGAAGTCTTTGAGAGCATAGGACACACTATGAAACCTTGAGAGTTAATGAGGACGCTTCTCTTTAAGCGTTAAATACAGTGAATGAAAAAAAAATCATATGAAAATCACATATGTTATCAATGCATGCAAATAATTAAAAAAATATAATTTTAATATTTGATCGCCTAACATTAAAGGAAATTGTTTTTTTTTTCTGATGTCAATTTCCATATAAGTTTTTTCAATATATCGAACAATATTTCAAATTTGCATGTGTACATCGAAAATCAGGGTACCGATTGTTGAATTATTATTATATATTGGAAACTAGTAAGAAATTTGTGAACAAATCAAATTCGCTGGTCTTCAATGAAAGCTATTTTTAATTCGTGCATATCAGTTGTTCTTCGAATCCCGCAGTTGAAAATGTATTGGATAACAATTGTTCACATTTGATTGTTATGAAGAGATAAGATGAGATATTACATGATGAGATATGAAGGCTAACCCTCAATATGACTTGAGTAATAAAATATATTTCAGTCTTTTAAGATTTTGACTTTAATTTAACTGCTGCGTCTTTAGAACAAAACTCTACGCAATCGCTGCACGTATTTACGTTCCTTCAGTATTTGCATATAACAACTTCCATGTTTTCAAATAACTATTAACAGTAATTTTTGGAAATAATACATCATTCAATATTTTCCTTGGAAATGCACAATTGAAAGATATAATTATAATCAATGAAGCCAAGTCTAGTTAATATATTTCTTCATTTTAGAAATATATAAATAGCATCGCTTCTCGTGCCTCCCATTTCTATATTTCTGTCTGAAATGATGGCCGCCTCGCCAATCGCTATAATTGCAGACAAACAAGCCAGCCAATTACGCCAGCATACAATTATTATTTTCTAAACTCAAGCAAAATCAGGCTAAAATCTCCGCTCATTTCCCTGGGAAAAACCGTACGAGGCAAATATTGGAGCAAGGCAATATGATTCTGTGCCGCACTTGTCAATCCAATTCATTATTTAAATGCTAGCAAAATAGAAATTTCATGGGTTGAATTCGGCTTGCAATTCACTTATTAACGTACGACGTAATTACGTTTAAGTACGACGTACGACGTACGTAATTACGTCAACCGATGAAATGAGCGTTTAATTAAGTACCATGGTGAAGCTTGTGCGGTTTATTACGTGATGAAAAATCTGATCAAGTTCAATTCAAGACGAATTCATCGGTAGTTAATTATAAAATATTTGATATGAAGACGTCAAGTCTCAACCCGAAGCATTGCAGTTGTTTTCCATTTACTATATAGCGGATTCGAATGAAATTCCATAGAAAAGTAACGTATACATATTTCTGATACATACGTTCAGGTGCTCGTCTTTAATTAAGAACGTTAAATACTCACATCCACTGGCCACGTGTAGCGCTGTCACTATAGCGTTCACTGTTCACAGCGGCAATGAGTGCACAAGGGAATGGCGGGAGCTGTAGAAACAAAAAAACAAAAGTAAAAATAAGCGTCACTTTATAGCGTCGCGTTCGCCTGAAGTGCTCCACGAACCAATTGTACATAGTAACGCACAAACTGATCGGTGCGACTGCCTTTGCCACTCTTACTAAATTGATGCTCCCGTATTAACAATACGGAACTGGCAGCCCAGTCGCCCATTCTTATTGAATTGATGCTCCCGTATTAACAATACGGATCTGGTAGCTGAGTCGCCCATTCATATTGAATTGATGCTCCCGTATTAACAATACGGAACTGGCAGCCCAGTCGCCCATTCTTATTGAATTGATGCTCCCGTATTAACAATACGGATCTGGTAGCTGAGTCGCCCATTCATATTGAATTGATGCTCCCGTATTAACAATACGGAACTGGCAGCCGAGTCGCCCACTCTTATTAAATTGATGCTCCCGTATTAATTAACAATACGGAACTGGCAGCCAAGTAGCCCACTCTTGTTAAATTGATGCTCCCGTATTAACAATACGGAACTGGTAAGCGAGTCGCCCACTCTTCTTGAATTGATGCTCGTTTAGAAACTTGAAGTTGTAGCTTCAAGATTTTTAATTATGAAAAAAATTAAAATGTCAAGTTGATTCATTAATGTAAATGAACTGTTAATTCTTTCACCCTTGTGACTGTTTCTCTAACGTGTTTATTAATAATTCACATAATATGATACCAGGAAATAATATTACTAATAAAACTTGATGTAATAAAAAATCTGTACTAAAATAGTAATTCTTCAGTGAATTAGAATCATTAGAGCCTGTACATATGACTCAAAAAAATACACCGCGCACACGAAAGTATATTGTTCTTTGATTGATCGATTTATTTATTTATTCACAGTACAGAACTCAATTCCAATGACAACAGGGCGACGATCAGACCAAATAAGTAACAAATTTCGAAAATAATCAAAACCATTGACAAAAGCCCTAAAAAAACTAATCATAATAGAAACTGTCATAATAGAAAAATCAGTATAAAATGAATGTTGGACTGGTGAAGCAAGATTTACTTGTCTTCGTGGATGTGTTCTAAAACGCACGCAAGTTTTGACGTTTTTTCGAAGTTGTTCTGTTGGTGCAAGGCAGCCTCGCCTCTCCTGGAGCTCGTGACCAAGCCCTCTAAATATTAAATATTCGACCACCAGCTTGGATAGTCGTCAGCATAATAATTCACGTTTGGTGAAGGTTTATAGGTGACCGTGCTGGCGCCTGACTCGAAAATATGGCAAGCTCTTAAAGAGCATCCGTACGTCAGAAGCCTGCTTAACCCCAGCGTTTGCACTGCCCCTGCACTTGTTTAAACTTCCAAGACGCTAATCGATAAATTCTTTTTCGTTTAACAAAATTAAATAATTGTTAAAATAAAATTAAAAACCCCTACTTAATGTCAAACTTTACTCGGACGAACGTTCAGATCGTATTCAGGAGAAATTTTTGCTCGAAAAATTCCGAAGTTCAACGATCGCACCAAATGGTTAGAACAACTTATTTAGTCCATAGTACTTCTAAAAACATCTAAATTGATTTCTTTGAGAAGATCAAGACGCAAGTACTCAATGCGAGTCAGAAAACCTCGCAACGTTACAGGCGTTCGCATGCCTATCCTTCAGCGCTGTTCGTTAGCATGCGGCGCGGAGAGAAGCATGACCGCCTAGCGTTCACGACCGCTAAACCATTCACAATATATACGACGGACGTCGGCTCGCCTTCTTTGAAGATTTAACTAACACGATCTCAAAGCCACGAGATATGCGTTGTGTATTCTCTGTTGACAATGTAATTAAAGTGGCATGCATAATAGTTACATACAAGCCACGATTCAGCTCACACCTCATACATAATGCAACAAGTCTCGAGACGCCGCTCAAGCTTTACCACACGTACGTGAGACTCGGCCAGATTCATTCACTGACTTCGTAGGAATACCACAATAATAAGGAGCACAGCGGCCGCGCAGTATGTCACGCTCGATACATGCAGATTAAGCGGGGCCATTGTTCCATATGTTAACGAGGTTATCGATAAATTTGTCTAGGGTTTGAGTTTCATCGAGTATTGCTGTAGGTGTTGTGATGTAACGAATATTGAACAGTAATCGTTCAATAACATCCAATGAATGTGAACAGGCAATCGGATCCTCATCACCTCGTGCGATTGGACGAGCAGCACTAATTGGCTCTGCGACGACCATCCCTCAGACACTCTGGACTTCCAGCAGACAACTTTAGGCTGGGCGCTACGTATATCTAGGGCTGACATTCAATATATTGTTCAGAATTGGACGGTAGTTTGATGGGTAAGTTCTTTGATCCGTTTATATTCTTTATTGAATATCCTCGGCAGGATACTTGTATACAAACAAATTCCAACAACACGTGGACACTTGCATCGCTATCTTGGATCCCAAGATCGTTTTCATTTTTGTCTGTGCCTATTATCCATTCGGCTGCCATCGATTCTCGTACTTTATACTAATATTTAAAATTTAGCCACCAAAACTTGGCTAAGTTTTTCCCAATGCATCTGCTATTGAAATAAATCCTCTTACGTTCACTCAAACTCGACTGCCCCCGAGAGCAATGCGTCGTGCTTGGCTGTTGGGAGCAACTCTGTTTTGGCGCAACGGATGAAACCGGACGAAGAAATCACACACTGCAGAATTGTTCTTATTATTTCATGCCTAAAATATATTATTTAAACGGGATATAGCCTGTACACTGCTCATTATTTGCATAGATTGCCACCTAAGGAGCTCAGCTCCATTAATTTCTAACTTGCTGCCTCACTGCGCCCATAGACACGGCGAGGTTGCTAGACTAAATTCTCTTAAATAATTGGAGGAATAAAGCGATAATTTTTCTCAGCGTGTATTCAACGTAACGCATCATGGCTGCCTTCGCTCTGAACTCGGCAGCAGAACTATTTAAGCGCGTAAAAAACGTTAGAAAAACAAAGAAATAAGGTTTATGGTAATGTAGTCCATGCTACGACAGGCGATGAGCAAGCAATCCGCTAATTGATTATATAAGAAAAACCTGGAACAATAGAGACCAGAAGATGCAATAATATAACGGCTCTTTCATCACCAAACAACGTGCATTACTCGAAATTCGAAGCTGACATCTCAACTTTAGATTCAGAAACAAAAGAAAATCGTTATAGGTTGCATTTGTCCCTTACCGCTTTGAAGGTCATCGGATGGAAAGTACATGTGTATTCTATTACAACAAATTTATTCTCGAACTGAACACAGATTTTTGACGGCTACTTGCAGAGATTCAATATCTGAAATAACATCTTCATCTTTTGTGGCATTGAACACGACGTGAGCACTCGCAAGTATACAGCAAGCCCAATAACTTGAGTAGGACGTGAAAATAAGAAAATTCAATCGTGAAGCAACAAATCAAAAACTCGATTATCATCTCAAGCGACGTAGGACATTGATATTCATTATAAAATCAAATAATCACTCATTTAACAGAGAATTCCATTGAAGGCAAAATGTACCGAAGCTTTTTTTTTGCAATTAATAAAGTTATTGGAATACAACAACCGAGTTTGGCTGAGCTGCGCTACATTTTATCGAGAGTATTGATGCCGAGCAGCGCGAAGCTGTGCTTGAAGACGGTGGCCGTAGCCTCGCACAGCAGCAGGCGGCTGGTGTGAACCTGCAACACAGTGCCGGACTCGTCCTTCTCCACGCAGTAACAGTTGTCGTAGAACTCGGAGAACACCGACGACAGCTGCACGATAAATAACGAATATTGCTCTAATTCCCGCATCAAGTGTAAGGATAGCAAAATCAAATTACAAGTTTTAAATTAATTTTCAGTAAAGAATCCTCCTTGTCGTCAATTTTAGATATACAAGGTGAACTTTAAGATAAGTAGAGATAAATTTTCGGTTTCATTGCATGATCCTCGACATGCCAACGAAAAATATCCCACATTTATACCTGTGAGCAAATATACAATACATTAATGACAACAGTAGACCCTGAGGAGCAAATCATTCATGAATTTCGTGGGTCTTGAACATAGCTAGAGTAACTAACCATCAAAACAATCGTCAATTCAAAATTTGACTATCATTATGAATATTTTACCACAGTGCACGAGGATAATTAACAAAAGGAATTAGACTAACACGATTGGCTAGTAATCCAGTTTAAGAAAATGCAATGCAGAAAATTAACCGGAAAACGTGTGGATAATTAGTGGCAGTAAGAAAAAGCCATGACAGGAAAGCAATCTTGGACACAGGACAGTACCAGCATTTGGGTTACGACGCGGGGCGAACAAACGCGACTTGTGTACCGGTATGTGGCTCAGACACCACAAACAAACCCCGCGACAGGCTGGGCATCACAACGTCACCCCGCGACAGGCTGGGCATCACAACGTCACCCCGCGACAGACAGGGCATCACAACGTCACCCCGTGCCAGAATTGGCATCACAACGTCACCCCGTGACAGACTGGCCATCACAACGTCACCCCGCGACAGACTGGGCACCACAACGTCGCCCCGCGACAGACTGGGCACCACAACGTCGCCCCGTGACAGACTGGGCATCACAACGTCACCCCGTGCCAGAATTGGCATCACAACGTCACCCCGTGACAGNCCACGCCGTCACTGGGCGCCACGTCACCTCATAAAGGTACTCGCAGAGGGGGTGGAGGTAGAGGTCGGTCGCCAGTCTCAGGATGATGTCTGGCAGCCTGAGCAGAGCGCGCGCAAGCTTCCACTCCTTTTCGTGCGCCAGCTCAAGGGGCGCCGTCCGCGCCGCCTTCAGTAGGGCTTCTTGGCTCACTCCAGCTAATCAAGGCAGACGTCAGTGCGGTCTAGTATAGTTCATTGCGTGCACAGGATAACCTCAAGGCTTTAAAATAAGCTTTCAAGTCTCAAAACAAGAGCTTCACTAAATATTACACTATTACCTTAACATCCGCCAAACAAAGTTAAATTGGAAACGATGAACGTTAATAATGTCAAGTTTTATAGCATTTAAGGCATCACTTCCACATTAGAAATCTTTCAAAACTTACGCCTGGCTATAGTATACATACATTGAAATTTTATCAACAACTGTCTATGTATTTCGATTCCAAGTAAAACGCCGGTGGTAAAAGAGGCGGTCTTGGTCCCAAGAAGAAGGTAAAACAAAGAATGTGGTACAAGTACAGAAGGGTGGGAGTACAGCCTTGTTATTAATACGTNAGACAGATAACACACCAGTCCAGGTATTAACACAAGAATGACACACCAGTCCAGGTATAGACACAGGAATAACACAACAGTCCAGTTATTAACACAGGAATAACACACCAGTCCAGGTATTAACACAAGAATAACACACCGGTCCAGGTATTAACACGAGAATAACACAACAGTCCAGGTATTGACACGAGAATAACTCACCGGTCCTAGCGATGGAGCAGATGCGTGTGAGGGCATAGAGGAGGTAGGCGGCCGTGTTCCCTTTGAAGTCGAGCATGCGGTCAAACGAGAAGATGTAGTCGCGCGTCCTGCACACCACGCGTGATTAGTGCCATTACGACGAGTTTTTTCATATAGCATCAAATTATTGATTAAACACACTATCATAGATGATTATTCCGAGAATGCAACAACTGTTTCAATATATACAATGAATGGCAGAAGGCAAATGGCCAGGAGGATCGGGCTCACCTGTCGTGGCATAGGTCGGCGTACTTGATGCAGCCATACGCCACGGCCGTCTTCGCCTTCTCGAACTCGTGTGGCGTGAGCACCTCATGGCGACCTTTTTCTCTGAGGACGGCCTCAGCGCGAGACAATCCCTCTTCCAGTAGCTCCACAAGACGAACGGTGTCGCCTGATTGACACAAGACACGCTATTTACTTACATTGCACACAATACACAAGCGCCGTAACTGCGACCAGAGCCTTTAAAAAAACACCTAACTCTACAAATCGAAATTTAAACATCAACTTGTACGCCGCTCACAAGCACCGACACTGTATGGTGAAGCTCCCTTCACCTGATCTGGTCTTGAACTTCTTCCTGTCTTCGCCGAGCACCACCCCGAAGGTGACGTGGTCCACGCGCACGGCTGAAGGGTCGTAGATGCCAGCGCGTTGGGCGCACGCCAAGAAACTCTGAAATGTTCCTTAACGTCAAGTGACGTCACACAGAACCCCAGTGAAGGCTCCAATACATCAGGGATGGATTAAATGTTTAGCAACAAGCGGTTAAATAGAACATTATTTTTGAGTCTGTTTTCATTCTTGAGTCATCATCATGTTAATAAAGTTGTCAAGATGAATTGATGTCATTAATTGTCTAAACTGAATGGAGCAGTTATTAATGGATACAAAGATGAGAACGATTTTACATGCACGCAAAAAACAGTCATATACAAAAAATATTTCGATATCTAAGAGAAACATCTTGGAGAATAATGGCAGACGCGGCATAGCTGTGGACCACCTTGAAGTGCTGCTGCTGGCCGGCGTCCGTGACGTAGACGAGCCACTGAGCGCCGAGTTCATGGATCCTGTACTTAATGCAGGCCATGTCCGACGTGTCGTACGTGAAGCCGCCGTCACTCTTCACCACCGTCAGCGGAACAGTGCAGTTCTCGGCGTACATCACCTGCAGCAACGAATCCGTGTCCAGGTAACACCATTACAAATAATGATGCGTGTTTCAAAAAGAAGCCATGCTCAACTCTAAGGCAGCAACGACAGCCCGTTCCAGTTGCCCTTCTTGCCACATTTTAAAAGGTCTTCTGGAGGCGCAGTAGTTAGCAAGCAAGATTCTCGATGCCGTTCTTCTGCTAATTAATATTCATTACGATCTAACCCGTGTAAGTCTAGTCATGTTCTGTGGCTCATACTCGGTCGTTGCAGGCATAAAAATAATGCACATGGTATAATACTGGATACAGTACAATATAGTGCATAGTGTGTATTATATAGTACATACCGGTATTTATAAGTTATAACCAGTAACACCCTAAACTTGTATATCCATCAGCAAAAGGACTTTCTTAACACAAACTGAGAAAACGTTCCCACAAACCATTCGAATCTTCGAACACTTATAAAATAAAGATAAACCCCACATTTCGTATAACACGAATAGCCAAATTTAATGATAAAAGGCTACCTTCCTGCCGTCCTCGAGACTCAGTAGCCCTCGGGAGTCGAGGTCCTTGACGAGTTCCTCCATCCTGCTCTGGTAGAAGCTCTCCCCGCACGCCTCCGTCCGCACCTCCAGACGCGCGTATACCTGACAACTCTCCACAATGTATTTGCTGAGACAAATATTCATACAAAACAGTGGATTGTTTTGAAACTAATTCAGAAATTCACGCGGTACATAGAACATGTTAGACATTCATGGGCCACACGTCCCACAGGGCTTGCCAGAAATTAATACAGGACCTGCCAGCATTCGTCAGTCGTACATCACAGCTTACAGGACTTGTCAAACATTCGTCAGTCATACATCACATCATACAGGACTTGTCAAACATTCGTCAGTCGTACGTCACATCATACAGGACTTGTCAAATATTAGTCAGTCGTACGTCACATCATACAGGACTTGTCCAACATTCGTCAGTCGAACGTCACATCATACAGGACTTGTCCAACATTCGTCAGTCGTACGTCACATCATACAGGACTTATATCATTAGTCTGCTTATATCGCAAGTTCACAAGGAATTTAAAAGCAAAGAAAACGCCAAGAAAATTCACCATATCGATTTTGAAAACGTTTCGGAGTCCAGCTCAGTCATCAGTTCGACTAAACTAAAAATGAATAAAATCACTTTAAAAGTCAAAATTCAGAGACAGACATAAAACCTAAACAAGACCTAACATTATATCGAAATAAACAGGACTAGTTATGAACAACTTAGTCCTAGGGGTACATCGTACGTCACATCATACAGGACTTGTCCAACATTCGTCAGTCGTACGTCACATCATACAGGACTTGTCAAACATTCGTCAGTCGTACGTCACATTATAAAGGACTTGTCCCACATGCATCAGTCGTACGTCACATCATACAGGACTTGTCCAACATTCGTCAGTCGTACGTCACATCATACAGGACTTGTCAAACATTCGTCAGTCGTACGTCACATCACACAGGACATGTCCTACATTCGTCAGTCGTACATCACATCATACAGGACTTGTCCAACATTCGTTAGTCGTACGCCATATCATACCGGCAGGGACCATCCACCATTTACCACCACCTACAAGCAGGAACCGACCTTATCAAACTCGGCCTTGGAGATATCGCAGATGAGTTTCCAGGCCTGGACGTGGTCGGGCTCATGCGCCTGCAGCTGCACCACAGCAGCGTAGGCTCTTTTCTTGAACTCCTCGTCGTCGTCGAAGCGCTTCTTGGATTCCTTGTAAAAACCCTGCAGGTCTGCAATGGGTGGCGGCGAGAGCAGGTAGTCAGGGTAGCGGTCCTGAGTAACATAAGGTAACACAGACTACAGGGGCTGTCCACTGGACATAAATTTAACTATTATAACTAGGTTTGACAGATTTGATCATTAGTTGTTAATATTAAGAGTTTAAGGATGATGAATGATTTAGTAAATTTAACAGCCCAACAAAGACAGCTGATTGATATCAGAAAATTACAGAAATAAATACAGACATGCTAAACAAGCAGCACCAGAAATATATTTCATTGATGAAATAGAGTAATTGAAAAAGTGCGACAAAAATGACACAAAAACAACAGATAATCCTAATAAATCATGTTCATAAAACTAAGAAAAATAAAAAGCATAAATCATGCGATATCTGATAAAACAGCTAAGCAATAACACCAAGCTTTTCACAATCAGGGAGCCATGAACAACATAATGAGGAGTCTAATTTTGTGCTGAGCAACAAATGAGAGCAATAGTGTTAGTTACTGACCTTGAGGTGTGCAATAAGGAGTCAAATTAAGAGTCTAATTTTGTGCTGAGCAACAAATGATAGCAATTGTGTTAGCTACTGACCTTGAGGTGTGCAATAAGCATGCCGAACTGCGTGCCCCAGTCGCCCAGATGGTTGATCCTCAGCACCTTGTGGCCCACAAACTCCAACAGCCGACAAATGCTTTCTCCAATGATGGTTGATCTGGAATATTAAGTGCATCAGATATTTCCTGTCTTAAACTTGCAGGAGGTTCTAAGTGTCGTGAGCATGAAGAATGAAATGATTGCAGCGCACGTGTTTCCGTATGCAGGAAATAAGACTTTATTCATTCTACATGAAATTGAGCAGCAGTGTAAATGTACCGTAACAAGCATGACCGCACACCAATGATATTCTACGATGATGGGAGAGGAACATAGATGTTTACAACTATCTGCAAGAAGCTTATAATCTAAATTATACAGTAAGATTGAAGAAAGAAGTGAAGCTGGTTTCACAAAATCTGTGACACAACTGCAGTAATCTCTGTCAATGAATACCGGTAATCAATAATTTCGTGCATGGATGAAAGACGTGGTAACGAAAACTTTTGAAAACCTGGTAAATATGAATTCAAACTTGCAGCTCATATGTGTGATTTATGTGTATGATTATAATCGCAGAGCTTATTATGACTTACCTAAGATGGCCAACATGCATCTCTTTAGCAATGTTGGGGGAGGAGAAATCTACAGCTACGGTGATAGGCTCAACAGGAGGAGGAGTGACGCCTTCTGTGATCAAGCGGGTTACCTGCAGCAGGACATTAATGGCTCTAAGTAAGCTCAACACTCAAAGTGTGCTGGATATTGTAATGGACAAGCAACTTGTCTTGTTAAAATTTCTTGCTGAAACTTGTTGAAATTTCAATAGATACGTAGTAAATGTTTGTGATAAAATCCTAAAATATAGATAATGAAGACGCCAGAACCACAAAAAGATAAAATGAAGTGAGGATTTGCTTGTATCTTCAGCCAAATAGGCAAACACCACAATTTTTCAACAGAAAAATCTTGGATTCCAAATTTGTGTCCAAGCTCCTCTCATTATTAGGAATAGCTTTATATAATAATTAATGAATTAGATATTTAATGCAAGATAACTGCACCTGTTCTCTAATGAAGGATTGAGACAAGGTTATGTTGATGAAGCCTGGGCCAGACAACTCCAAGCTTCCTATGACCGGAGACTTGCCCACAGCCTCCAGCACCTTCTGGGCCACAATACGTGGATTTTCTTTTAAAATCTGGAATGTGTATTAGTAGTTAGCAAAGAAAAGAGTTATTGAAACACTATTTATATTTACATTCAATAAAGAGCAGTTCTTATTTGCATAAAGTAATTAACACCTGGGTCTTCTACTAGGTACATCAAAGCGTTTACCTTTATTTTGTCAAGCATTCATATTCATGACTTAGCACAACTAATGAATGGTCATTTATATGATTTGAAATGATCAAAGCAATTACTTACCTTAGCCAAAGCCATAGCTACATTACACTGATAGTCAGCCATTTTGCTGAGCTGTATTTGAACCGAGGGAGGATTGCTGATTTGAGGGTAAGCTTGGTTGACAGCTCTGATGAAGACTTGCTCCAGATTCTGTAAGATGGCACACATATGATGCAGTGACACCTCCACAGATGGTGCTGCGTCATTTGCTTGTTTGCTTCTGCCTGCTTCAACACCCTCCGACAAACAATACTCATCAATGCTCTGAAATAAATATCAATAAGGCAAACAATCATTAGATAGATCAGAGAGTTTAGGTTTTTAAATGGAATGGATTTATAGTGACAAATTCTGTTATTCATCAGAAAAAAACTTGAGCTGAAGAGCCATCATACATAGAAGACACCATCATGAGCATGAACATTAAGATGTGCATCAATCAATGCAGACCAGATTGATTTGCATTGATTAAATGATCCTCCACTCAAGTAACTCTTGCATTACCGGTAACAAAAAAATATTCAAAGCTACAAAAAAATAACAAAACTAAAGAGTACAGAAGAATAATTTACATTCCTCAGGCACTTTTTCACCCAGCAAAGCAGGTCTATAAAGCAACCATTGGCCGGTTTAATTTAGATGCCACAGCTTGTCATTTGGGTAACAGCATTCATGTAATAGAATTTTTTGTGCTCTCTTAATAACCAGACAATTATTAATACGTACATCTAATTTCTATAATTAGATTTTCCCAAAGTAGTAATATAAGTTTGGAGGACAGTGTTTAAAAACTTTCCAGAAAGTCATAGAATTCTAAGACAAAGCCTGCACTGGAATGAAATTCAAATCACAACTATCAGAAAAAATGGCAATCAGCACCAAAATTGTTGGCAGCAAATTTCTACTAAATTTTTCATCTCGGAAGAAATGAAAAAAAAAAATCTCATAATTGCCTAAGAAGATCCAACTTGCAGGTTCCAATCCAGAACCACCTGCAAACAAAACATAATTTCTTGGGAAGAAGGTAATTGTTTGGGTAGAATTTTATTATATTATTTATCTAATAAGAAGTATTTAATAGGTTTCTAAATGTTCAATAATGCAGGAGTTTGTTGACAGGCAGTTTGAAAGTTACAATATTACTGAAAAAGACTGGATTAGCTATCTTTAGCAAATCAATCATTGCTCACCTTTTGCAATATATTCTTGCGATACTTAAGTTTCTTGTTTTGAGACCTGAGACTGTGAAGTTCATCATCTCCATCATCTCCATCCAAGGTTCTTGCCACAGCACCATTCATGAGCCCAGCTTTCTCGGACACTAACCTTTGAATACGCTGACTCAGCAGGTCAGCAGTGCTCTCCTGAAAAACACATGGAATAACTCAATAATTCAAATGTAGGACAGATTATATTGTGAGACTGTAGTTTGAAATATTAACATAATTTTATAGTCAGTTTATAAACTGTTAGAGTGAAAAATCATTGCAAGTAATTTAGTGATGGTATATAATTTGACCAATTATCCTGGAAAGCAGCATATATAGATACCATAAATATTAGATTTCAATTGATTGAATAGTTTTTTTTAAACATTAGCTTAAGCTTGAAATGGCATCCTAATAATGTTTTTGATACAACTAATGCAGCATTCTAGATCAAAACATTTCAGATAATGTGGCAGAATTGGTAATGCAGTGACTGTAAAACTAGATTAAACCAATTTTTTTAGAAGCATTAAACTTGCATAAATATGATGTATGGTGCAACCCTTTCAAATACACACTATTCAAAGTCTCAACAGCAACCCTATAAAAAACCATATGAAAAGTGTTTGCAATATTATATGCTACCATAAATGCACCTTAATTTGCCACACTCTATCGAAACAATACATCAATTTTTCAATGTTTAGCAAAGTCATGAATGATATTAATATGAAATAAATTAGAAGTTTACAACATTTATTTTGGGCACTCAAATCAAATTGAACACAGCACAATACATTTTAAGCAAATGCTATGCACCTATACAATTAATGAATTCCAAAAGAACAAGACAAAATCTGAACCTTCTCCTCTTGAAACTTCAAGACTAATACATAGGCAATACATTTTGCCACCTAAAATTTTCATCCTAAAAAATTACCATTATTTATAGGTGAAATGCAATAAAACCGTATTTGAATTGACTTCACTCCAAAGTCTCAAATTATTAAGTCTCAAATAATTATCAAGTCTCAAATTATTAAAGTATACCAGCAGAGTATCATGAATATTAGCTTTAACATACCATACATAAAATATTTTTTTTATCTTGAGTAAATGAGGAAATAGAAAATAAACTGGGTATAAAAAATCTCTGGTTTGCCACTATGAATTGCTGTAATGTATCTCACTATCTGTCAATAATAGACTGTCATTGTCAAGTGTCAACTCAAGCGTGGAAAACATCTACCTATAGGGCTGCAACTAGAGCATTCCCGCCATTTCTGGAACCCAAGGTACAGTCTGCAGAGGGTGCAAGCACCAAGCAGCATTGCCAATACATGGATTTTTAGTTCAAAGCCTTGCCAGTGATTTTCAAGATGCGTTGCCAGATAATTTTTAATAATAAAATGCTGCTAACAACTTTGATAGTATATCCCTTACTTTCTGAAAGTCTCTGTCTCTGAGCACTGCATCATCACAACTGATTTCTGGACAAGCTTCACTGCATCCTGANTGAGGGAATATAGGGATTTGGTAGGTTTCCATTCTAAAGGCTTTTTAATAAATATGGCAACATTTTGTGACATTTCATCGTTGCTGACGCGTAGTGAAGTGTTTTGAGAGTCATGTGAAGGCAACAGAACTTACGTACCGCATACGTTTTTTTTATAGTTTTTCATTTCTCGATGCGTCCCATAGTGGCAAAGCAGAGAGTTTTTTAGACTCTCCCTCAAGTTCATTTTTGAGTACTATATTTAGACCAGTAAAGTATCCTGGTTACCTGCATAAGCTGCATTATCCTACATATGAAAAATATTTAAATCATGAGTTATGATGAGTAAATGAGGAAATTAAAAATGAACTGATTCTAAAAATTCTGTGGTTTGTCACTATGATGCGTCCTTAATGTGTCGGAATATACCGCGTTTACCTACATCTGATGATCTGACAGTAGACATTGAAGTCCTATTGCCTGTAAAGATCCAGTTATTCCTTAAGCTTTAATAATATACCTAATTTAAAAACAGAAAAGGCTTGTTACTAATAAGTTTTAATTAGGAATTTTTTAATGTGTTTTTTCTATAGCTAAGTTGAACAAAATTTCTTGCTAGCTTTGTAGTTTGTTTGTATTGAAAAACAGAGAATTGTTAACAAAAATCACTGTCTGGTCTTTATAGCTAGCCTAACTGTCAGGCTTTATTATTATATAAGCATCAAATCATGTTGATACATACCAAGTTATCACAATGCTTAGAAATCTTCACCAGACTTGGTTCCATTTTGAGAAAGTGATGGAAATCTGTTCAAGTGTTTAGGCAATAGGCCGAATATTAGGTACCTAGGATTCGTAAAAAAAACGACAAAGCGATTTCTGACCTCTAAACAAGCAAAGCTGCACAGAGATATAACGTCAGAAACTAGCCCGGCGCCGGCTTTCTTCTTTCGTCCACTTTCTGAGGACAGAGGACCTGCTACAGTACCAGCACCAGGCTCGTCAGCTGCCACCAGTCACCACGCGCCTCACGTCCGGAAGGAAGACTTTCCGGTCGCTAATACGGAAGATTGCATCGGTTCCAAGCAAGCACAGAAACCGGAATTTATAACGGGCAAGATCCCTACTACTTTACACAATATTATTTTTCGGGTCGCCTGCCGAAGACCACAACTGCCCTAGATGTAATGGACCATCACGATTCCTGCCTTTCGGAACGTAGCCTTCAACATATCAAGCCGTCCGTATCTAGGCCGTGGGTCGAACCAGCCCTCGGTCGAACGGCCACTTGTCGAAGGACGATAAATTTTGGAACTATGCTATCTGCAACCTAACCTCAGATGCCGTGAACGTAGAATTACGCAATTTAAAGATGCCCGGATGTCAGATTGGATCCGCGGCCTGGTTGTGCACGGCAGGTTCTATGCGACAAAGCCGAGTGGTTTAAGGC